AACACTCCATAATTATCCTCTTTCCTAAACCAGGTAAACCTGTTAATTATACATCATCCTATAGACCGATAAGCTTACTTCCGATCCTTTCCAAAATATTTGAGAAAATCCTTCTCAAACGCATCCTACCCATACTCGAATCCCACAATATCCCTTCCCATCAGTTTGGTTTCCCCTCAAGACATACCAGACTTAAAAGACAAGAGCTTAACCGACGATTTGGTCAGCTATATAGACTACTAAACAGAACATCTCATCTCTCAATAGAAAACAAATTATTAATCTACAAGACCATACTGAAACCTATCTGGACCTACGGACTTGAGCTGTGGGGGACAACTAAATCATCGAATATCAAACGCATCCAATCCTTCCAGTCTAAAGTCCTTCGAACAATAGTCAATGCTCCATATTATGTCACGAACAAGACCCTACACCATGACCTTAACATCCCATATGTCCATGACATCATCCCATCCAGATTCTCCAACTTTCACCAGAACCTCATTCATCATCCCAATCCTCTAGCCCAATCCCTATCCAGCTCCGAGCATCCATACCATCCCCCTCGAAGGTTGAAACGGCAGTGGCCTCGAGATCTTTTGTAAATATGCCTTTGGAGTCCTGGCAATGGCCAGCTTCTCCACTCATGTCCTGAGCGTCTGTGGCTCTAGTGCCCTCTTTCAGTCTCCACTGGCTTCTAATACTAGTGATGCGGCTGGAAAAGTGGCGCTGGGATCTTCCGGAGTCTTGCTTTGCCTGGTTCAGAGATTCTTGGGCGAATGTATATATTGTATATAGTTATGATTGTGTTTAGAAGTTTTTATTTTTATTTTATTTGTTTATTATTATTATTTTTTCTTTTCTTTTTATTTACCTTCTTCATCAGTATTATTTATTTACTTCTTATATTTATATTTATTTCTTTATTATTTGTATATATTGTATGAATGAGAACTTTTAGCCCTAATGCTTATAGCCCTCCAGCAGTGGCTGATTGTATTATTATTCAATAAATAGATTAAAAAAAAAAAAAAATTTATGACCGCCACCCCGGACCATCTCCTTCCTTAATAATACAACGTTCAATTATTAAGTATTAAATTTATAATTTATGTATATAACATACTTTCCCGAAAACTAGCTGCATAAATTTGTATGATGAATTCAGTATATTATTTGTGAATAAATTGAAAATTTACACATTTTTTTATAATTGATAATACCAATATTTATTTGGAAGCTTCCTGAATTCCCTACAAAATAAAAAAAAATCATCGAAATTGGACTGTTTGTTGGAGAGATATATAATTTTAAACATTTAATACTTTTTCTTTTGCAAAGACGATTTCCATTATTTTGATTTTTGATAAATCAAAAACTTTACATTTAATTAAGTAATCGGGACTATTATTTGAAGAGATGATATCATTGAATGTTACTTCATAAATTAAATTTAAAAGTAAATTCTATAGTTATACTCATTCTAAACTTAAATACTGCACAAGCATTATTTAGTGGTACACAAATGAGACTGAAATACTAACAGGAGCTACTTTAAATAAAATAATTTTAATTCCAAGAATTAATTTAATATTTTCTGACACAGTAATTTCATTTGAATTTCAAAGAACAATATTCTTATTAATAGCTGCATTTGCTATGACCATAATCAAATTGCAGGGTCAAAGTTTTGGAAAAATTTGTGTATTATTGAGACGTCCAGTAATTTTGCATGGACAATTATATTGGCAGCAACTAGAACACGTTCATTTAAAATTTTGAAATTTATATTTCCAATGGCAATGGGCAAGGCTATGTACTAAACAATAACAGAACATTAAAAAACAACATTGTTTATAGAGAAGTTCTACATAAAAATTGATTTAAACTGAATGGAAATTATGAATTTATTGTGATAACAACACACATAAATTAAAATGGAAATTAAATATTTATTAATGAGTCTATTTTGTATTACTTACAAATAATTTTAAGTATTTTAAGCTCGATTTTTAATTGAAATTGAAATTTTATTTTTTTTAATAAATGAAGATTTTTGAATCGTGATTTACTCTTCATTTATTGAATTTATTTTTTATTTAATTATATGTTTTTCTCAAATTTTTAATGGTTATGGTAGAATTTTGACCATTGGGCGAACACTAGTAAAAATAAAATGGCTCTTATCAATTAACTGTTGTTGAGTAGAGATGGGCAAATGCCAAAGTGAGTACTGTGTCCCGAGTATTTTACTCAACTATGGACCTCCTAATTCTGATTACGGTACTCAGATATTCAACTTGCCAGAAACGTGAACTGCCCAACTTTTATTTTTATGTTAAAAAAAATAATCTCCATTTTGAGATTACATCACTTCATTTTGACTTATTTGAATTTTTCGGATTTCTTTCATATGAGGGTCTATTTCTTTGTTTTCGGAGCCGTAGCTTTTGAAAATGATGTCCATTTTGAGATTAACCTACTTACTGTGTTTTGACTTATTTGAGTTTTTCGGATTTCTTTCATGTGAGGGTCTATTTATATGTTTTTGGAGCAGTAGTTTTTGTCAAAATAATGTCCATTTTTTTAAATATTATATAATATACAAAATATTGTCCACGCCACTGCGGTTGGACTTATTTGAGATTTTCTGCTCCGACCCAATTACTGTCCACCAGTACACTTTAATTCTATCCAGCTTCCTTACTCAGACACAGTGTGTTATCTTGGGTTTCTCTTAGACCGAAGACTAACATGGAACCCACATACTAGACTTAAAAGACAAGAAATCAAACAATGATATGCCCCTGCTATATAGACTACTGAACAGAAAATTTTAATTTTAAAATTGACAACAAATTACTGATCTGCATGACAATACTAAAATCTATTTCGACCTACGTACTGGAATTGTGGGGGACAGCAAAATTTTTTAACATCAAACGCATTCAATCCTTTCAGTCCAAAGTCCTTCGAACAATAGTTGGTGTTCCGTTCTATGTATCTAACAAAACTCTACACCATGACCTTAATAGGTATTAAGGGGACACAAATGAGATCATTTGTCCTAGACCTTATTGTAGAGTTAATGCATGCTAGCTATCTGCTATGCTGGCTGTTGCAAACAAAGGCAGGTTGGCTTGGGTGATGTTACCCAGACAGTAGTAGTCCTTTGTTCCTGATAGTGTGATGTTTATGTAGAAGATGTTGTGTATTGTGATACAAAAGTTTATCAACAAAGCCTCATTTGTTTCCTGAAGTGATTTCCTGACATCACACCTTATACCTGCAAAAGTTTTGAAATCCATCAAAATCTTACATATCATCCAAATCCATTTGCACAATTGCTCTCTAGCTCTACTCATCTCTACGATTCTCTCCAAAGGTGGAAGCGGCAGCGGTCCAGAGACCTGTTGTAAGAATATATTGGAGTTCTGGCAATGGCCAGATTCTGCACTCTATAAGTTATAACTTATCTATAAGGAAAGGGACGTGGTTAGAGGGATCGAAGATTACCTTTTCAACCGATTTTAAATTAATTTATGGGTGGTCTTATAATTTGACAACAAAACAGTGGGGCAAAGAGCAACTGAAACTATCTAACAGATGTATCATAATGTGGAATAAATTTTTAAGCGACGTTTGTGCCCATAACATTTTATACAGGTCAACTAAGAAAATTGGAGGGCCTGGGAAATTCGTTGAAGTAGACAAGAGTCTTTTTTTCCTAAAACAAAAAATCATGTAGGGAGAGTTCTCCCAGAACAATGGACGTTTGGCGGAGTTTGTCTAGTAACAGACGAGTGTTTCATCGTAAAAATAAAGGACAGAAAGGCAAGAACTTTATTAGAATGTATTACAAACAATATAGAAGAGGGAAGCACCATTTATTTGGACTGTTGGAAAGGATACAACATCCAACAACTGAATGAAGCAAACTATAATCATTTCCAGGTGAAACACCGTTATAACTTTGTTGACCCATTGACTGGGGTCCATACTCAACATATAGAACGTTTATGGGGCTCAGCTAAGTGGAGAAATAAGAAACATCGAGAAACTGCAAAGCAACAACTCAGTTTATATTTATGTGAATTTTCTTCGGGTTCCTCGCTATTTTAAATAGCATTAAGCTATTTTGCCTTCCAAAACAAATCAAATGAATTATGTATGTTGTAAAATAAAAGTGTTGTTGTTATTTATATTTCTTTTTATCTATATTTCTTATTATTAAATTACTATATTATTATAATATTTATATTTCTTATTAATATATATATATATATATATATGCATATGTTGTTAAATAAAAGTGTTTTGTTATTATTACATTTGTTTTTGTATTTCATATGAAGATAGGGATTATCAGTGCCTTATCACAATTATCAGTGTTCAGGTTGTAAACATTGGCAGATAGCAGTCCATACAGACCATGTCGTTCACAAGTACCATTTTTCCAAATTCCATCAAAACCTCACATTTCATCCTAATTTACTTGCACAATCCCTATTCAACTATATCCATCCCTACAATCCTCCTTGAATTTTGAACCAGCAGTGGCCCAGAGATCTGCTGTAAGCATATATTGGAGTTATGGCAATGGCCAGATTATCCACTCAAGCCATATATGTCTGGTTATAGCGCCTCTGCTCTGCCTCTACTGGCCTTTAATACCAATAATGCGGCTGAAAGAGTGGAGCTGGGATCTCCTAGAGCCCTGTATTTCCTTCCACAAGTGGGAGGAAAAGCTTGGCTTGGAGATCTTGAGTGAATAAATTTTGTAAATATTGTATAAAAGCATTTCTGTATTTAAGTAGTTATTTTAATTGTTTTGTTTCTTTTAGTTTATATGCATTTACTGTTAGTATTCTTATAAAAAATTTTGTTTTAGTTGCCATTAAAATTCTTACAACTTCCCCTTATTAGTAATAAGAATTATCATAACAAATATTTCATTAAATAATTATAATTTTCTGATAATTATGTGTATTTTTTAGAGCCATTATAAAGTTCATCTTTTGGTTAATACCTATGAGGATAGTTATGAAAATCTTTGGGAATCGCTGGTGTCTTTATTAGAAAAAGAAAGTGACTTAAAAAAGGTAGTTCATGCCGCATTTTATGAATAATTATATCATTTTAATGAATATTTGTCTCTTAAATAATCTACAGTGGCTGCTAAAAGTTTTATTATTTTATCACTTTGTGCCTATTCAAATATACAATTGGTATAATAAATCTTTTTGCTGTATTATAAGTAATTGTTTGCAAATTTCATACTTTATATATATTATTAATTAAAAATCTAATGTAAGTTTTATTATTTATTTGGGGTTTAAATTAATAATCAGATAATATACGATCAGATTAGTTTTCTATATTGTATGCATGAACTAAGACCATCAGCTTTCTGTTGTTTTGAATTCCATAAAATTTCAACAATATCAAAGATTTTTTTTATTGGCTTTACAGACCATTTAAATCTTTGAACACTTGAATTAGTCTTCTCCATTTCTGCCTATCTTGGATTATTGTATTCCAGTTTGCTGCATCTAGCTTTGTAGCATCTTTGTTGATTCTATCTGTCCATATGGTTCTTGGCCTCCTAATGTAGGCTTTGTAATCTATTGATGAGCTTGCTGATGGATTGATTAGAGCTACTTATGCCATCTATCTTAACCCTCTTGCTTTCACAACATGAGATATTATTGAGTTTCTGTAAGTAGTGCTTTATTGGTTCTTCTTTATGTGTCAGTACTCTCATCCGTGATCACTCTAGCTATGGTGCTGAGGATTTACCTCTCAAATCTTTCAATCTTTCTTTCTGGAGTTCTGGTTATTGTCCAGTTCTTACAATCATATATCAGAAGTGGCTTTATCATTGCATTTCACATCCTTAATTTGTTATTTGTTAGAGATTTTTTTTACACCTACAAATATTTATTTCAATTTTTTACTATTATTTTGAAAGGTAGAAGATTTTTATTTTATTTTAAATAAAACCTTATGTTTTCTATGTTTATTCCTGATTACGATTGTTAGTTAAAATTTTTTATTTTACTACTTTCTTTTCTCTTCCTCTCCTCTAATCTTAACTCTGTTCTGTCCCACCCCACTGTTTGTCCTTCATTTAATTTTTTATGACTAATAGCTTAATATCCTGCCACATTAACTCTCAATCCCTTCCAGCACATTATGACGAATTCCTTGATTATTTTTGCCTCAACTTATTTCATATTATTGTTGTATCTATCCGAAACTTGGCTCAAATCTGATGTTGGCCATCCGTTTCCTTACCCACCTATACCCTCTTTCGTCATGATTGGATAGATCAAATCGAAGGAGGTGTTTGATCATGATAGTTTGAGGGCTAAAATCTGCTTCTTCCGATAACCCACACATAGAATATCTATTTGTCTATGTTTTCTCTAGAAACTTTTCTCTACTCTACATCGTTATTTACTGTCTCTCTCGTGTCCGATTTGATACCACTTTTGAATCCCCCCTCCTTACTTTATACCTCCCTTTAAAAAAGTCAGTATTGAAGGCGGTCTCAGCACCAACCTCGTTTTAGTCTCTCTGGACAGAATATACCTTATTGACCCGTTTTTCTCTCCTGACCTACTTATTGCACCCATCGTACCCAGTCCAGTGATGCGTGGTTAGACTTATTTATCATCGATTCCCTTCAGAACCTATTATCCTCTTCATAAAATCCTGTTTCCTTTCTCTTTTCTCAAGATCATATCAAAATCTCACACAATGCTATTATCCCTACACTTATTTCCAAAATAATTTTCTGGAGAGATCTTATTTCCCTAACCTTTAAAACACCAGTCTGTGGCGGCTGAATTCATCAGCCTGCCACACCTACCGACCACACTTACCTACTGGTTCACCTGCCCACTACCTGACAGCACCACATGTGCACGCTCACATAATGTACCTAAAAGATGTATTTTTATTTCTTATTATTGTAATGTAAAGAACTGAAGTTCTATTTTGTTAATATTTATATACATTATGAATACTTTTTTATGAATACATTATGAAAGTTTTTTGGTAATAACATATACTGATTAAAGCTTTAAAATAACAGTAAGTATAACGACTCTTGCTAGCCGATTTAGTCATGGCGGAATGATTATTGCATTTCTCAAAATGTAGATTTAATCTCGGATCTCCATCTTTCCTCGGAAGTCAGACCTTCCTTGTAGTTTTATTAGCTTATTTTATTTATGCTTTCTGGTTTTACCTCAACGTACCTTTTATTTCACTATGTTCCTTTTACCTTTTTTTCCTTTTCACTCTCTATACAAGGTTCTGGATGCTCATTCCTCTGCTTGCACTCCTACACACTGATTCTGGAGGCTCATCTCTTCGTTAGTATTTCATTCTCCCACAAGGTCTGAAGGGTTATCCCTCTGTTTGTAGTTTCCGTCCAGCAGTGTCATGAGGCTCATCCCTTATCCCTCAGACCAAGAGTGATTTAGGTGCTTATCCGCCTGTCACTTGTGGTCATCCTGTCTCAGCCTCTTCCTTTATCCACTAAGCCATTTCATCTTAATTTGAACACGCTCTGTCAAGGCCATCTCATTACTCTAATTATACCTATCTTGACAAGTCCTTTTCTTTTTCGACGACATGGTAGAATACCTTTCTTCTAACCTCCTTGATTTCCTTAACCATCAGGCTCCTCTTAAAATCCGTATTTTGAGCCTGCTCACTGAATGAATTCAGAACTCTGCGCACGCTACTGCAGCCAATGTAAATCTCTTTATTTTGTTGGATACTTAAATATATTGGTATATTTTAGGATGTTTGTATATATATTTAGGACAAAAAAAACAAAAATTCTGTAGTTCAGCTCGGTACGCGGCTGTACACCTTCTAATGGGGCTATACTTTTTTTTTTTCTATGGTTCTCCAGTGGCTACCAAGCTTTTTCTTTACTTCTCTGGGTCCGTTGGCCTTTGGAGTGTCATTTCTTCTCCTTCCTGTACTGAGTGCTCTCTCCCCAAGTGCCTATGGCGCACCACTTCCTTTCACCTCCTCACATACTCCATGAATTGCGAGTAGTTATCCTCCGCCATCAGTCCTAGGAGACCAGGAGCTCCCTGGGTCCAGCTTTTGTTACCCTAATAGGTGCCAGTCTCCGAATGGTAGCTAGTTTATTCTTTTGTACTTGTATGGTGGCCCCAGGTAGGGAATACGTATTTCAGAATTTCTAGGACCACACCTTTATAAATGACTCTTGTCGCCAGGTATTTAATTCCCCAGAAAGCACTCTCTATCCTCGACAGTCCATTCAATGAGTGAGTTGCCCTGGCTCTAAGATATGAGATGTGTGAGCTAGCATCAAACATTCTTCTGAATCTCACTAATTTTTAAGTTATGTGTTTAAATTGTTTCCTGTTTAAATTTTAGTTTTAATTTCAGGTGCAATTAATCATATCAGTCTTACATCATCTAGTCATGAATAAAATGAAAAAATATATTGATTTTTTAAATATTGAAGAGAAATCTTCCCAATGTTTTATATTAAAAGTACAGTGAGTAATTTTTTGTTATACTTTTGACATTTCCTCATTATTTAAAAATAGGAATCAAAAATAATTTTTATTTAGACTGGTATTAGTCCAGTCAATGAATAATTATTGAAGGAAATGGCGGCAACACAATTTTCGACTTTAGGAAATTGTTAGGACTATTAAGGAGGTGAACATACTAAAAGTCCCTACTCCTAGGTGGTAAGCCAGATGTGGAGGGAGGGCCTAGTAGATCTCTTTTTTTTGGGTTTCGCTTATTTAATGAAAACTCTCCATCGCATCAACAATGACGTTCTATACAAATTTAAAAGTGATAACATTTTCAATATGATTGATTATATACCTTTTTTCACTATCTTGCTTAGTTTCTGAGATATTATTCCCTCTGGGCTAATCGAGCAAATCAGGATTTTCTGTTAAGTAGTCTGTATAACTGGCCAAGTCGTCGGTTAAGTTCTTACCTTTTAAGTCTGGTATGTGGGTTCTATGTTAGTCTTTTGTCTAAAAGGAATCCAAGATACCGAACTGTGTCTGATACGGGGAAAGGTACAGAGTTGAAGAGGATAGGTGGACAAGATCTGTGTCGGAGGTTAAAGGTGACATGCTTGCATTTGGATTCGTTGATTTTGAAGCGCCAGTTGTTGCACCACTGCTCAATTAGGGAGATATGTCTTTGTAGGTTTAAGGATGCTGTTTCAGGATCTGTGTGGGATGACAGGATGGCGGTATCGTCAGCGAATGTTGCTAGAAGGGTATCAGGATTGGTTGCAATGTCAGCGGTTAAGAGGATGTAGAGAACTGGGCCCAAGACGCTGCCTTGTGGAACATCAGACTCAACTGGATAATTCAGTGCCGCAGCGGACTTGAAAGGAACGATTAGAGAGGTAGGATTTGAGGACTAGGTACAAGGATTGAGGTAAATGGGTTTTAAGCTTGAAAAGCAAGCCATTGTACCACACCCGGTCGAAAGCTTGCGCTACGTCCAGAAAGGCACCAGTGCTATATTGCTTGTTTTCAAGCGCAGAGGATATATGGTCAACAACGCGAAGGCCTTGTTGAACAGTGGTATGTCTTGAGGGGAAACCAAACTGATGGAAAAGGATATTGTGGGTTTCTAGCATGGGTAGGATGCGTTTGAGAAGGATTTTTTCAAAGATTTTTGGGAGGATCGGAAGCAAGCTTATTGGCCTATAGGATAAGCTATTATTAAGAAGTTTACCTGGTTTAGGGAAGAGGATGATTATGGAGTATTTCCATATCAGAGGAAAGTGAGTTGTGCGGAGGGTACAGTTATATAGGTATTTTAGGAATACGATTGCTTTATTGGGAAGTTGTCTAAGGATCTGGGAAGTAAGGAGATTGTGTCCAGGGGATTTTCTAGGTTTCAAATTGTTTATAAGGAGTTTGACCTCAGAGGGGTTGACAGCTTTAGGAGGTAAGGAGAGAGGAATCGGAGAAGAGAGGAGTTCTTTAACTTCAGCAGTGTGGGTGGGATGGAGTTCGGGGTGGGGAGTGAATGTGTTGGATAGGTGTTGAGCAAATTTTTCAGCTCTAGTCTCATTTGACGAAGCCCAGGTTCCATCATCTCGTCGGAGGGGATGGGAAACAGATTGGTATTTAAGAATTTTTTTGGTCTCTTTCCTGAGGGAGTTTTCATCGGTTGAGAGGGAAGAAAGGTAGGAATTATAGGATTGGGATCTAAAGGAAGCCAGTTCTTTTTTAACCTGTTTGGAATAGTAATTGTACAGTTTCTGATCATCAGGATGCCTGGTTCTTTGCCAGATGTTAATAGATTGGTGTTTGGATTTAATGAGGTCAGTAAGGTTTTGAGGCAGAGGATTCTCTTTAAGGTATTTTTTGAAGGGGAGTGGTGAGGATGCAGTCCAGACTGCTCGTTGGATCAAGGTGATAAAGGAACTCTATGGTTTTTTAGGGATACTCTAAGGTCTATTGCATCTGTTATTGTTTGGAGGAAATGGTTCCAGTTGACTGGGCTTCTGATGAATGAGGGAGGAGATAACCTGGGGACAGGAGATGCGGAAAGGGTTAGATTTAGCGGACTGAGATCTAAAGAAAGGTCGAACCGTAGAACTGAGTAATTTAGCGGCCCTAGACCTTTGTGAATGAAGGAGTCGAGGATGTCAGGGTTACAGTTAGGATCGATTGGCCAGTATGTAGGAGTATCAGGGAGAAGGATGTGGGAATTAAGTGCAGACAGCAACGATCGCCCACGGGAATTCGTGGTTCTGGCTCCCCATTGCTGATGTTTGGTGTTAAGGTCTGCAGCTATAAGGAAGTGATGTCCTAGGGAATTAAGAAAGAAAATGAAGTTAGGTTCAGGTATTGCTATTTTAGGTGGAGAGTATGCTGCGACAACTGTAAATGGTAAAAATGTAGTTTGGATAGTTATTGCTGAGGTTAGTAGGAAATTGTGAACTGGTAAAGGATACAAGTGATGGGAGAGGGACTGGTGGATAATGAAAGCAGTGCCAGCATGTGCTGTTCCATCAGGGTGGTCTGTTCGATATATCTTGTAGCCAGGTATGTTGAACTGTCTTTTGTTAGTTAGTTGGGTCTCAGTTATTAGGACTATGTCTATGTTATTGTTCGTTGATGTGATTTCGAACGCCCTTCGCATTCCAAAGGAAAATGGAGAGGAGTTTTATTGAAGACATTTAAGGAATTCTTGGCGATGGGATAAGATTAGCTATGACATTTGTAAGTAAGGTAATGAGTGGGGTGATGAGGGATTTGGTTTTGGAGAGGAATGATGTAAGGAGGCTGGTAAGGTCATTGGAATTGTTAGGAGAAGGAATGTAGGATATTTGGTGAGGACTGAACTTTTGGGTGTTATTATGTTCGGGTGGTGAACCATGAGGTAGTGGTTGAGTTTGCGGCAGGGCCTGAGGTTGAGTATGCTGTTCTAATTCTCCTAACATTTGAGCATAGGAGACTTCTTTGTTTGCAAATCTTGTGGGTTGCCTTGGTGGTCTGGGAGTCCAGGAAGTCTCTTCATGTCTAGGTGCTGTCTGTAATCTTGATTTTAAGATTTTATACATCTGGCATCCTTTGTAATTTGCTGGGTGATCTTTATGGCATAATTCGTACACAGCAGGAGTTTGCTTGGACTTTTCAATCTTCCGACTTATGTTGCTGCCCGCACTTCACGCATCTCGGTAAGTGGAGGCAATAGCTTTTAGTATGGCCATAAGATTGGCAATTATGACATTGTACTATTTCCCATTTTGCATACGATTTTTTGACAAATATGCTAGTATAGTACAGATGTCTTAATTTATAGATGTTTTCGACCCCACTGGTGCGCTCTAGGTCTACAAAAAAAAGTGGTAGAGCTCTTTTGTTGTTTGTACCTGGTTGCTCTTTGTTATCTATATATATGTTGACAATTTGGCAGACACTGAAACTCAGTTCTGTCAATTCTTCTTTGATTGCCTCAGGTGGAGTTGATGGGTGGAGCCCTCTTATCACCAATCTTTGTGCTCTCTCATGAAATAACTGATAAGTATGGAATTCCGCCTTTGTATCTGTCAAGTATTTTACTATTTTTCTTTATGATTCAGGAGAATCTGGCATCAACTTGGTGTCATTGGTTCGACTTTGACATATGTATTTACCATTGTCAAGTAATTTATTTAAATGCTGGCAAAATAGCAGAAAAATTTTTATGTTTCTTATGAATGTTGGAGATGGTTTTGGCTCTCTGGTGGTTGATGGTATTTCCATAGTTTCTTCTGAGGTATTAAATAGTAGTTGGTATAGGTTAACAGTAAAAAATGGTGATTCTTCAATTTCAGTGTTTGTTTCGGTGGTCATAATTTCTGTTGAGGTACCAGGTTGTGGTTCGTTCATTGCATCATTTGGTCTATCAGGTGTAGATGGTGGTGTTTTTCTGTTTGAACACCTAGGCTTTTCTTTTACTGGTGAATTACGAAATCTATTATTGCCTAAGCTTCTTGATCTTTTGTTCTTGCTAGACATTATCATATGATAATATCGCATTTCATGTCAACGACTATTGAAACACACTATTGTTCAAACTTAATAAACAAGCGTTTACTCACAGTGTTTATGATCTCTTCGACAATGTATTTTATAATTGTTCAATTGCACTAGTTTTTTAACACAACTGTTCACTAATTCACTGGTAATTAAGATACTTGTGAGAGACGATGTAGCAGGTGGGTTGAAAGATACTAGCCCATGCGCAGAACTGCCCTCCTTACTGGTCCAAACAATGTCCCAAAGTCAAAAATTCAAAAAAAGATCCGAGGCATCCCAGTGCGAGGAGGTGAAACTCTCGCAACCCTAATAAGCAACCGTAAACAATAATAGGGGCCGGTTTGAGTACTGGACGTTTCGGAAATAGCGAGATAACTATAAATGGTATATAATCAATCATAATGCAAATTTTATCAGCTCTAATTATGTATAGAACGTCTTTGTCAATGTGATCGATAGTTTTCCTGATATAAGCGAAAAGCAGTAATAAACACGAGGTAAAACTTTTTTTTTCAAAATTAGCCATAGTTGATGTCGGATATCTCAAAAACTAAGCTAGATAGCAAAAAAAGTATATAATCAATCATATTGAAAATGTTATCACCTTTAATTTTCTATAGAACGTCGTTGTTGATGCAATGGAGAGTTTTATTGATATAATTGAAAACCAGAAAAAAGTGAACTACTATGCGCCCCCTCCCCCCCACATCTGGCTCACCACCTAGGAGTGGGGACTTTTAGTATCTTTACCTCCTTATTAGTCCAAATGAAGATGGCCACGTGATCTTCTAATATAGACATATTATTAGAGTGCTACCAATGGGTAGTTTCTCAACATGTGTTCCATGTTTTTATACCAATGTGCAAATTTACTAGATGTATTTTTTTTGTATACAGTTGTAAATATCATTAAAAATAAATAAATAAAAAAAAATTAGTCCAAACAATGTTCCAAAGTCAAAAAAGTGTCCCCGCCATTTCCT